ATTGATGTTTGATATTCAAATCAACAGTATTACAAGTTCTGGTGATATTGAGGTAAAAAGGCTTGAATTGCTAGACAATCAACCTTCAATTAGTTCCCTTTCAGATACAGACGAATTTTCTTCTGATAAAATCCATCAATTTTAAATGAATTCACGAAATATTAAGAAATTAAATGTTACTGGTAGTGAACCATTTCTTGGTGAATTTCTTAAACCATCATCTGATAATATGGGCCATTTGTAATAGAAAGGGGGGAAACTACCTTATAGTAGTTTTTGAGATAAATCAGTTTTTGTGAAATAAACAAAGGAGGTGAGGCGATACTAAAAATAAAATGCGCGATCGATTCATAAATTGAGAATATCGATCATTGCCAAAGTAAAGAATACAAGCAATATTCTTTGCAATAGAAAAGGGGAAAACAGCCGGAAAAATTGTTGCTGAATTTGCTGAATTTACTGATTCTACTTTTTTTTAGCGAAGGCTTACGTTAAAATGGATTTTGGAAGGTGGAGGATTCAGCTTTCGTTTAATAGTGAGTGATTTTTTTTATTTTATTTTTATTTTTTTTTTTGGAACTTATTAATGTTCTTTTTCTTTTTTTTCTTTTAGTGGTGATCTTGGATTTTGATAAGGTGGAGGGTTCAGCTTTCGTTTAATAGTGAGTGGTTTATTTTTATTTTATTTTTTTTGTTTTAAGAACTTTGTTAATGCTTCTTTTCTTTTTTTTTCTTAATGGTGGTCTTGAATTTTGATAAGGTAGAGGGTTCAGCTTTTGTTTAAATAGTTAGTAATTTATTTTTATTTTATTTTTATTTTAGAAACTTTATTAATATTTCTTTTCTTTTTTTTCTTTAGTGGTGGTCTTGGATTTGTGGAGGGTTCGGCATGGTGAGTGAAAACTTTTTTTTATTTTTTTTTTTTTGTTTTAGGAATTTTAGTCTAGTGGTATACAAACATATTAAATTTAATAAAATAAAATTAAAAAAATTAATTTATAAAACTAAAATAAATTAAAAAAAATGCTAATTAATTATTGTTAAAATATTTTCATAGGTTATTTTACAGTTACAAAAGTAGTAGTCTTGGATTTTGATAGTAAATTTTTTTTATTTTTTTTGAGGAATATTATTAATGTTTCTTGTTTTTTTTTATGATTATTCTTAACTTGGATTTCAGTTTCTTGATATTTTTATTAATGTTTTAAGAATATAATTAGCTTTTGTTTCTTTTTTTTCTTTTAAAAATAGCTATTGGATAAAATAAAATTTATTTTTTATTTTTTTTATTTTGTTATCTTAATTAAAATTACCTTTTTTTTTTCTATTTTAAAAATAAAAATTCATTATTTATAAGTATTTTATTTATTTTTTTTTATTTATTTCTTTTAAGTTTTTTTAATTAATATAATTTAAGCAATTTTACTTATGTAATAATAATTAATTTATTTATTTAATAATAAATAAAAAAAATTAGTAAATGATATTTTTAATTATATTTATTATTTGTAATAATTTAAGTTTTATTTATTTTGATTGAATTATTTATTATTATTTATTATTTAAAGCAATATCTTTTTTAAAAAAAAAAAGAAATTAATAATCATGTTATTTTAAGTTTATAATTATCGCCGTTTTCAAAATGGTATGATCAAGTGATTTGTCGATTAATTATAATAAAAAAAGGATTTTCAGATTACACTAAAGTAAACTTTAATAAGACTTTCTTAAAGAAACTATTTTTTCACAACTTTTTAACTTTTATTAACCTTCATAATATAGAGTATTTGAATCTTGTATATTAGTAAGGTTTAATATGTAAAAGTTTTTTTTAGCTTATAAAATAATTCCTAATTTCCTAGCGATTCTAAAATGATTTCTTAGTGATTGCTACAATTATTGGTGAGATTCCTGTTGTAATTCCTAAGTAAGTTTTCTTCTAAAAGCTTTGTTTTAGCTTATTTTTTTTTTATAAAATATATATAAATAATGAGAAATGGTTTTTTGGATAAGTCTTTATCATTTTTATAATAATTCATTCTAATAAGAAATTTTTGAATTTTTATAAAAATGCATTTTTTTCATGGATCTAATATATTCTTATTATAAATATATTTAGAAATATTTGATGTTTTAAATTACTAGAGAAATCATTTATTTTATGGAAGGATTTTTTATTTTTTAATAATAAAAATGAAAAAATTGTTTAATTCTATTATATATTTGTTATTTTTAATGTAACAATTATTTTTTATATTTTAATATTACTTTTTTTATTTTTTTCAAGTATTATTTAAGTATTTTTCTAGTGTTTTTAAATTTTTTTGTTGTTTTCAATATTTTCAGTATTTATGATTTTTTTTAATTGATCAATAAATTACCTGATCATACTAATTTGAAAACGACGATAATAAAATCAATAAAATTTATTAATAAAAAAATTATAATAAATAAGAATATTTAATAAAATTAAAATATTAAAATTAATTTTTCTTTTTTAGTTTTGGATTTAGAATCGTTAATTTAGAACAAAGATCATCTTATTTATCTGGATCTTGAATATGAATATGAATTTGTTCATATAAATACCATTGTTTTTCAATACTAAGTTCATTTGATATTATTTCATATGAAAATCCTGTTAGCATTATTTAAGTTTTTCTAATATCTATTAAATGCCTTTTTCTATCTACTGTTTCTCTAATATCCACACTACCAATTTTACCTTTACTAAAAACAAAATAATGTTATTTAAGAATATTTGGTATAGTTCTAAAATAATTATTTAAAAATTCTGTCTATGCATAAAAAAAGACAATTCTTTTTTCTTCTTTATCAAAAACTGTCTGTACTAAATTATATTTACCAACTGTTGAATCTTTAACATCTTGTATTAAATTCAGCTTTTTATAATTTTAATTTAAATAATCCAAAAAAACCATCAGGACTAAATTTTGTATATCCTGCAACCATAACATTGTACCTTTTAAACTACAAGATATTTCCATTTTAAATTTTGTATTCGGGTGATGCAATACTTTTGATCGCCACAGTATATTATATAACTTTGAATAATAAAAATGAAATTTTGACTTAATCAAATTCGAATTGTATCTATAATAATTAATTTACATAAACTTGAAAGCGTTGCAAATGTAAGCATGTCAATTCATTAATAATTAATTATTCGTATATGTATTTCCTTTCAGGTAAAAATAATCAAATAGTTATATTAAATTAATTCAAGGAATTGCTTTAATAATTGCATATTTAATAAATAAACAAATAATAAAGGATTATTGCAAGTAAGCTAAAAATAGACAAAATTCAACTAAATATAATTTCTCCAATATCAAGAAAAATTTTTTTTTACTATAAGAACGCAATATAGAATTTCGAACGCATTATTAAATTTTTATTACATAAAATATCAATTCAATTGTTAAAAAACAAAAAAAGAAAAAAGCATGGCAGAAAAGTATTTTCATTTCACAGCCAACGTTTAGGCCACCTTATAAATAATAATTAAATAAAAATTAAATAATTTAATGAATGTAAATTCAACACTATTGGCTTGATATCTGTAAACTTAAACGATTAACTTTTAATTCGATACGTTGAATTAAATACAAGACAATATCACAATCACGCCTATATGACGACACGACAAAAGGTAATAGTAAATAAATTGATAAGATTCCTTTATTGAACTCTTGGTTTATCCTAAAACCCTATCTCGAGTTACTTTTCAACTCAAGGGAAAATACAAGATATTTACAAATAAAATATTATAAAATATAATATAACAAATATAATATAAAAGATAAAATAAATAAATAAGATAAATATAAATACAAGATATAATTAACAAGTATAACGATTATAACAATTATAACTAATCTATCTAATAGATCAACGATGATCACTGTTAATCATTTTGATCACATGACTAAGTTAAGGCACAGTCAAGGATCACGGCTTCAACACCAAAATTATTCATCCTGCATCCCCAGTAGATGAAAATTATAGTAAGAATTAATACAGAGACCCAATAAACATAGTCAATAATCAACTTACCTCGACTCCCACTGATGTCTGTGTCGCCAAAAAATATTCTCGTGATTGGGTTGGCTATTTCTTTGAGCGTTCCTTGTTTATTTTCATATTCCTCCTTAATCGCCTCTTGGTTACTTTCAAGCCATGCAATAGTTTCTTGAATTGCATCTTTGAGTCGGTTAGGAATATGTAGTTTCTATCAAATAGGGATATCCGATTTAGAATATCTATATACTGTATCATAATTCATATGTCAATAGAACTTACATCAAGTTTGTTACGTAAGTTAAATACGTAACTTCCCAATTCATTTCGTGAAATGATCCTTTGCTCTTCTTTCTCAAACGCTTTGCGATGTTTTGCTACGTCGACTATAATTACATTAAATTTAATGCATAAAAAAACTTGGTTATAAAATTTTGTAAAACTCACCACTATTTTCGAAATCCCTTAAATATATTTTCATCGTTTGACGATGAAATCTTTTCACGGTTACGACTGTGTTAAGGGGTTTTGTCATTTTTACGTCCCATTTTTTACTTTTCTTTGAGAAAAAAAAATTTGGTGTCATTAATATTGATAACATGTGTAAATCACGTCTTATATAAGTAGACCGATGTATATGTCACGTGATATAACTTTATTTATACATGGGGTTGGACGATAAGGGTCTACACCCCTGGTGGACAATAAGGATGCCCCAGTATTTTGGAAAGACGTCACGTTATAAGTACTTTAAAAAAGTTCATTTATACATGGGGTCTAGGATAATAACCATATCCCTGAATCTAGGATAAATTTGCAACTAAAATAAATAAAAAAAATCCAATAAAGAAAAAAAGAATGAAATTAGTTGTGTATATACATTACATAAAAAAATAAACGATCTATCTAATTCCCCAAAAAAAAACCGATTGTATACTAACTTTTTTGTAAAAACAAATTGGCCAGATGCAATATGCCAATATGCCTGGAGGACGTTTTGACATGTAGACAATTTGTCTAGGCTAGGAGACATTTGGTCACGGAACATATTGGCCGGAGGAAATTGACCTAACGAACAAATGATAGAAAAACTTTTACATTAAAATTATTTTCTTTGCGAGTCGTGTAAGTTCACGACCAAATTTTTATCGTTAAATATAAAATTTAGTAAAATTTAGTGATGATCATTGATAGAAAAAGGAAAAAGTTAATGCTAAATCTGACATATTGTTGCACTTGGACATTGATAAATTAGTACTTTAAATTGAAGAAAGATTGAATATATACAAAGTATTTTTTTTACATAATAAAAATCCAAAATTTTTGTTTCTCAATAAAGCAAAAAAAAAAAATGGTCGTAAAATTAATTTTATTTCTTGTATAAAAAGTAGTGGTGAGTGTTACAGTTTTATTTATTATAACTACGAAGGAGGATGTATACCTTAACCTGCGCGTTTCCGTCCCGACTTTGTCACTATGTATGAAGCTACAATGGAAGGGTGAAACCCTCAAGATTCGTGGTTGTTACATAACATATACTCGCTTAGTAGAAGGCGCCTATACTAAACCATTTTTTGTTTCCAGATATTTATCATAATCTCAAAAAGATTATTGTTCGGAATACAGCTTCGTGAACTAAATTGTAAAGGTAAAAAAATTCTTTTTCGTCATCTTTATTAGGCATAAAAATTTATTTTTCAGATGAAATAGCATTCCAGTTTTTCTGAAATATCATAAAACAATGTATTAAAAAATAAAATATTTCTTTTTTCATCCTTTCCTCACAGGTTCCATACTTCTTGGCGTTTACGAAAAGTTTACCAATTCGTTTATCCTTAAAAATTATTATTTTAAGGCGGATATTTTGCTCATAGCAAGGAAATTTCATCAAGCAAATATGGTAGTCCCGACCTTAACATTAGAGAATCTATGATTATCGGCAATACTAACGTAGATGAGGCAGTGAATAAGGTTGCCGGGCCAAACCCGTTTCGACAAGCATCGAAGTCTAAAACACAACGAACCCATCGAACATAGCAAAGGAAGTTGAATATTCACCCAGGGAACGTATTGAGAAGAAAGAAGATTTACTTTTTATCTCTAGAGATTACATCTTTTTTTTTTCAAAAAAAACGTCAAACTTATATTTGTTAGATTATGCATTTTTTCACTTTTAGACATTTAGTCATAATTCCCCTCCTTACAAATTGAATAAAACTATAAGAAAAGTTAGCAAAAAAATCTCTTGTTGAAAACAATGGCTCATAACGACAATAGCAACATTAACAACATCAACTTGTAGAAATGAGAGAGTTATTATGACACCTCCGCAGTTTACAAAATCGAAAAGGAGCTTTCGTAAGAGGTAAGCAAAGTTTTTAATTTTTAAATTTCAAACGCAAAATAAAATTTTATTTTATGCAGACATGCTAATTTGATAAAACTATTTTCACACTAAAGAACTAACAAGATAAGTTATAAAAGGTAAGGATGTTGAGGCGGAGTCAACAATCACACTGTAATAATGGCTTTACAGAATTAGAAAATTAGAAAGGGATAGAATAATTGCTAGAAAGGAGGTATATTTTGTTCCAAAACTTCGAAACAAAATTCCTGCAAAAAATATAACAATTTCATAAATTTTTTATTTTTTTTTACGACAGAAACAAGAAGATTCGCCATCATACGAAGAAGGAACTGTACTAGTCGAGATGAAAGAATAAGTGTAGAGCCATCTTCAATTAGGGTCTACCGGTAGGGAGGTGATATATACGAGAACTCACAAGAATCTGTAGCGTCATCCAACCGTACAGTATTGACGATATGTTCAAGTTCAACTGCATCTAACCGATTTCGAATACAGGTTCATGATTGAGACAATTAGACATCGTGAACAATTGAGGATGCCAAATGCAAGGTGGAGTTTTGATATGATAAATAGGCATGTCTAATATGCAAGCTACATTTAAATTTAGTTTTGAAATTCCTTAACATAATAAATGCAAAAGAACAAATTTTTATTCATGCAACAGGTAGTGTCGCTACAATTAATTCCAGACGTATACCGTGATTCCGGTCATTTTTGATGGGTACGCAGGGGAAGTCCAGCAACAGGAGGTTCACCAACTTCATATAAACGAAAGCTGCGAATTTTTTTTTTGATGCAACCATTTAAACGCATCCCACCTATTATTCCAAGATCCAAGACCGGATCCCAAATTTCTAGAATTGATGAATATTATGAGAATATTTTAAATTCTTAAAAGTTATTTCTTTATTTAATTTTTCTTATAAGTGATAAGTTTAACAAATTTGATCATTTTTCTTAAAAAAAAAAAATAAAACTATTTCAAATTATTTTCTTAAAAATAAAAATCGATTGAAAATGTTTTTTAAAAAGTCCCATTCTAACTTTTTATACTTTTTATTCAATAAATTAATAAATAGGAGCTTTTTATCATATTATAATTGTTAATTGCTTTTTGATCATCTGATGAATCTATATCTTCTTAAGATCTATTATATTATGACTTATTTAACTTAACATCAACTGCTGGCCTTTAATAGGCTATTAAGTAAATAATTGAAGTTGAAGGAAGAAATGATCACATCACATCATATACATATAAAAAGTATGCATCATCAGATCAATGAAAACTTTTTTACAGAAATTAATTATTTTAGTTTTGTCAACTTTTGATATTTTTATAAATAAATTTATAACAAATGTGAAATACCAAAAGACCAAATAAAGTTTTACACGATTTACAAATTGAAACTTAATAATCTTTAATAATAAAAGACTCATAAATAAACAAAGTTTATTAATCAAAATATATAAAAGAAAATATTTAAATTAGCTATTATGATATATTATTTTCTCATTTTTTTCAATCTGACTATCGCTTAACTTACACTGAAAAGCCACCAGAACCAAAACTGGTGCTGGTACTACAATTATTATTGAGTCAGCTAACTTTTTGAGTGACATTTGTTTATAAACATATTCCCTCTCATTGCATCTTGGTTATTTTCAAGCCATGTAATCGATTGCTGAATTGCATCTTCAAGTTTCATATAGCTTTCTAGGTCAATATTACCAGCAACTTGTTCGCTCTATTGATTTAATTCAGAATATTGATGTATAATAAGTATTAAATAAACGCTTATATAAAGTAGTTAGTAAAAGACTTTTATATAAAAACTTCATCACAAAATTGTGAAATATAGTTACATGTCCATACGTTCAATTTCTTCCTTTAACAATTAACCTTTGTCATTTGTGATAGTTATCTTATTCGATCATCCAGTTGTTTATCAACAGCAAATACTTACAATTAATTAATGTTAATACAATAATACTATAAACATGTCAATTATAATGATAATTGAATATTAAATATATACATTAGATACTATTTCTATCAATAGAAAATGTCTAAAGCGTGATTTAATCACGTGATCAGTAGCTTGTATGATTAGTAGCTTATACATTAATCAGTTTATTTGTTTTGTATAATATGTAACATACATAATGCGTTACAATAAAAATATTTTTTTAACGAAAATAATTTTCTGCACAACTACACTATTGCTCTCCACATAGTTGCTAAAGATTTTCATATTTTTTTGCTATTAAATAACAGAAAAGTCTAAGAAAAAAAATCTTCCTATATTATATTTACTAATGAATATTTACTAATGAAATAAATTTAATATAGACATCTTTCCTTTAGTTTTTTTTCTTTGAAATTCCTTTTTAAAAATACTTTCATTTGTTATTATTAATATACTCAAAATAATCAATGACGCCGTTTGCTTTTAATATAATAAACATACCTGTATCTGAAGCTCTAACTCCTAATCAAAAGCGTAATCTTCTTTATAATGTTGAACAACCACTTAAACTTTTGATAGAAGAGTTTGATAAAGAGTGGTAAACCTCTTGTGTCAAATATATGAACTAATTTTAATCATAAAAATAATGATAATGGTAACTCATGGGAAGTTTTTATTTAATAAACCTAAAAAATCAAGTACCCAAAAGGAGAAAATTTTACAGAAGAAACATTATATAACAAGAATCTGACCAGCTAACTTGTGTTTTACAAAAATTAAAGTTTACCATTATGCTTCTGAATAAAAAGTACTGGTTGAACGATTTAGAGACTCGCCTGATCATTCACATACTCTAGAGAAAAGTAAAAAGCTTAAGCGCTCATAGACTATTCAGAATTTAGTTATGCAAAAAGCCATAAAGAATTATCGACCACCAGAAATTATTAGTGCAATGAAGGAATATGCAGAAAGTGTAAAAGAATTAAGACGGAAGGAAGTTACAAATATTAAATATAAAGTATATGAGGCTCTTGACACACATCTTATTAGAAATTTTGATCTAAGTTGGATATTTAGAATTCTATTTTTTTCTTGAAAAATCAAGAATATTTGGTTGAATATTATGAAATTTCCCACCTATCCACCTATGGTTTTGTTTTTATGCATCCCAAATAGCTCAAAAATCTTGAGCAATACGGCTGGTTAACTCTTATAAATTCTACACATAAAACTAATAGGTATGATTACTGCTTATTTACTTTATATATTTAAAATTACTATGGGTGTTGGATGTTTAAGCCCACTTCTTTGTAAGTAATAAAAATAGTGAAGGGTTTAAAAATCATTAGACGATTTGCACACTACTGAAGCCTAAGATATTTTCTCTCTGACTAAAGTAACATAGAATCTAATAGAATCAAGATGGCATTTCTGGGTCTTAATATGGTGAACAAGAATGTAATGTTATTTTTTGCATAATGCATATCATGTGAATCTGGATACACAAAATTTATGATAAAAAAATATGACAAAAGATGATTCATACCATGCATAAAAGAACTAAGATCAGCTGTGAAGATCTTGTTCAATAAGTGATCAATAAATGCTTAATTACAACCATCAAAAATTACATCACCAGAAATTACACAAAAAATATACATCAGTGAGCACTTTGGGCGTGACAACATTCTTCTCTTCTTTTGCAGGTAACCTTAACAAATGCTTTAGAGTTATATCATAGTGAATTAAAGAGGCTAACCTCCCCGCAACATGGTTTAATTAATATATATTATTATTAAGTAAGGATAATCAAATAATTTAAATAAAATAAGAGTTCGATATTTGATTTATATAATACTAAGAGGATTTACATGTATTTTGTATTATGGTTTTCATAATTACATCTAATCAAAATTTCAATAGGTGTATATCATAAGATAATCAAACTTGATAAGAAAAAATATTCTGATTTAGAGCATGTTGCTTATGAATTTCGTGTTAAAAGAATTTCAGCTATTGGTGTTGATGATAAGATCCTTTAAGCAATTTACAAATTTCCGTTTCCTGTTCAACAAATGCTTATTAGTGAATTTTGTGTTGAAAGACGATTAGAAAAAGGAAAATTAGCATTAGATATTACATCTTTACATTGTTATTGCTTGTTTTTTAAACGATACTTATTACCTTACCATTATATATTTTATGAACATACATATGGTGTTACAAAACTATTAACACCTGATGCATGAAAAAATTTCAGCAAATGTTTGATGAAGCTAAATTTGATATATATATTCATCATGAATTGGTTAATTTGGAGGTATCTAAGATGACTGAAGCTGAAAAAGTAACAGAGAACAGACACTTATTTATAAGTGAATTAATGAAAAGAGTTCGTGATATATATTGAAGAGTAGAAGAGAGAGTAATATAAAATAAACTGGTGCATTTATTAGAGAATTAAAAGATCGTATAGAACCTGTTTTAAATAATCAGTGTGAAAAATAGACCAATAAAAATTTTTTTACCAGTACATATAATCCAAAAAAAATTTCTATATTTTATGTAATTTTTCATTAATTCGAATGATATAAAAATTTTTTTTATTAAAAAATTTCAAAATTTACATTGAAATAATTTTGCATCAGCTACAAAAATGAACCAATCAGAATTGTACTGATTGAAATTGATCACGTGATCGAACCACACTTTAGACATCCCTTATTAATATCTAATGTGACTTCGATTTGTGAAACACCTTTTGGTGCTGGCAGAATTCTAGTTAATTCGAATGTTTCAAGCAAGTTGTTATCCTTAATACAGTGTTAAACCTGAAATCGTCTCAAACCAAACTAACAAAATTAATAATCTTAATAACACAATTATCTCAAAGGTCTTTCCTAAGAGAAATTAACGATTAATAAACAAAACAATTTATTATCACGATTCACTTGTGTAGTAGGTTATCACGATCAATCTTATGATAAAGACAAGAAGAAGGGTGAAAGTGTAAATAGTAACTTTATTAAACTGTAGAGTTATAAGTCTAGTCCCAAGACTTATCAGAAACTATCTGATCGAACTCTGTTGACTCAAGATCAACTTACAGGTCTATTTATATAAAATTGTTAACTAATACTATACTAAGCCTTTTAATAAGTACATATAATGAAAATAATATAAGTAATGAAAAGTAAACTATATAATATTTATATTAAAAGGTAAACTATTCGATACATATATTATAAAGTTGACTTAACAATACATGTATTACATATTTAACATGTATGATATTTAGCGCAGTTGAAGATTATTTAAGGTACAGTATAAACTGCGGCTAACAATGGACACGTTTACCTTCATAAATTTGAATAATCATTTTCGATTAATTTTCAAAATCTGTTGAAATAATTTTGGATTTTTTAGTAGTACTGTAGTATTACATTTAATAAATGGTGTTATGATACCGCTGGTTGTTTCAAGTCCCAGAGATAAAGTAGTGATATTGAGTAAAAGTAAATCTTGGGACTTTTCAGAAGTATCACCAGATAAAATAGCAGCCTGAATAGCAGCACCATAGGCCATGGCTTCATCAGGATTAACAGATTTGTTTAGTTCTTTATCATTGAAGAACTTGGATACCGTGTTGAACCACCAACTAGAACAATTTCATGAATTTGACTTTTGTCTAATTTAGAATCTCGAAGTACTTTTTCAACATGTTTCATTGTAGATTGAAACAAGTTTTGATTCAATTCTTCAAATTTTGCACGTGTTAAGGAGGTATAAAAATCGATACCTTTGAAAATGGAATCTATTTCTATGGAAGATTTTAATGATGATGAAAGTTCACGCTTTGCACATTCACAAGCTATCCTTAATCGACGAAAAGTACGTACATTTATCGTAAAATCTTCCTTAAATTTTCGGTTGAATTCTTGTACGAAATGATTTACAAGTCGATTGTTGTAATCTTCATCACCAAGATGTGTGTCACCAGCAACTGATTTACTTCAAAAATTCTTTCTTCTATATTTAGGAGTGAAACACCTTGAGTAAAGCGATATCAGTTATTTTTTGCAATGCCGATGCTTCCTGTCTACATAAAGGTTCAAGAGAATGCCTAAAGTAAGAAGCTAACGTCTTTAGTTCACAATCTATAAAGAATGTTTGTTCATTGACGTTGCAATATAATGTTAACATATCTGTATCCAAGTTTTTAAAAGATTTATTAATAAGATTTAATTAAGCAGATTTACTTAATACTTCCTTAGAATTTTTAATTATTGTAAAGAATATTTTATCATTATAGTCATTTTCAATAAGGAAGATTTTCTTAATGATCATTAATGGAAATGATTCTCTTGAGAATAAACTTTATAAAGATTTAATTGAACATCAGATTCATTTTGAATTAATTCAAGGAATTTCATGATGAATAATCTTTTTGGTATTTCATGAACCTTTAAGGCTAAACGTCTGATGCCAAGCTCGTTTACATCTAAGTATGGTTTTAATATTTTGAGAACTTGCAAATCAACATTATCGCAATTTATCCTAAATAAATACCAAATAAAAAAAAAATTAAATTAAAGTTTATAAATTTTATTGTTATTATTTTATTTTGCTTTTAGGAGTATGTATATTTACCTATCAATAAATTCACTAGTCGTATCAGCTGCCGTTGATAACATTTTTTTTTTTTTTAAAAAAAAAAAAAATTAAATGGTGTAAAACTAAAAGAATTTTTACTTGTTGCGAACATACATCATTGTTTATTTATATATTACAGATCCTTGGCGAAAAAACAATTGAATTAGAAGTATTTCATCCTAAAAAAAACTATATTAAATCATCAAATGACAAATATAATGCACTTCCAATAATAGCACTCTATGAACCATCTACAGAAAATAATAAATGATTTGCGAGCATCATTTATTCTAAAATTGATGAACAATAAGAAAAGATTGATGCTATCCAAATTTTCAAACAAATTTTTTAAAAAGTTAAAATTACACGTATACAGTATAGCGGGCTATCACATTACATAAAAAATGTTTATCTATTAGTTTTTTATACTAATTTAAAGATTTTATATATTTTTTTATTATATATTTATAAAATATATTTATAATTTTATTTAATTAAATTGTTATTGTTCAAAAATTTCAACCAATTAATATAATGATTATATTCGTTATAGATAACTATTATGAAAATTAATAAAATTAAATAAATATTAACGTTAAATGAATAAATTAAATAAGTGTTTTAAAGTAAAATTAAATATAAATTAGAAAAGGAGACCAATAGAATATCTGAAGTGAGTTAATTTTGCGATAAAATGTATCAATAAAATAAATGCTAAAGAGATAGCGTAATAATCACCTGATTATATGCGCATGATACAAAAAACATTAGCATCACTTAAAAAAAATAAATTATAAAACAGAATAATTAATTAACATTAATTGATACTAACCATATTATTGAAATAATTTAAATAATTCTAATGCTTTTTCTAATTTCCTATTTATATTTTCCTCAACAGAAACAAGTTCATCATCATTATCATCTTGTAAATTTGTTTGATCTTCTAAATCTTCATCACGATCTTTATCATCATCTGATTTCTTATTCAACATATTCTGAAATATTTTACAATTATCTTTAATGCCATTGCAAAAGTATTTATAGCAATATAAACATCTTTCATTTGTTTGATTAAAACATTCGGTATAATAACCATGACCACATGATAAAATACTACCCGATGCCTTTGATGATAAGGTGCATTTATTCCAGTCACACAATCTGTCCAATTTGGGTAGAACAGATGAATTCCAACCCATCAGAAGGACCTTTTCATCCATAATTTTACCAAAAGTTGGCAAATTATATTGCCAATATTTTTTAACTTTTTTTTTGTTACGCATCCACAATTTTTCCAAACATTTTGGAATAAATCTAAAAGGAAAATTGCAGATTTTTTTTCCAAAAATTCCAACTTCTCCATTTCATAAATAATATTGTGGCTTTTTGAAATACCTCAACAAAAGAATTTTTACCACGCGTTTGATCAATTATTTTTGCTTGATGAATTATTTGTTGAGCAGTATTAAAACTGTTAGTGTGATGTCGAATAGAACTATGAAAGCTTTCTACATAATAATCATTAAAAATATGAAGAGAACTTTTAAGAGTTTCTGCAATAGGGTGTTCAATATGTTGCCAATAAAAGACATCACTAAGAAATGCCAATGGTAGTTTATTGTAATTTTTACACCGATATTGATAAAAAATAACCTATATGCATAACATTGCTTCTTTATATACTTTCCAGCACCCACTATGAAAATTATTGGATAAAAATCCAATACCAATGGGATCACATTATCTAAAAGATCAATAAACATACATGTTTCTGGATCTTTACAATTATAAAAAAGATTTTAAATAGGTTCTTTAACTAGAAGCCACCCTTTGAATGCAAGTTCCAAGAGAAGATTAATTTGATAAGGTTTAGGTTTTTAGCAAGAATCTTGCGAAAGCCAAATATTGAATGATACATTTTTTCAAAAAAGTGATAATTAATAAGAAACACAGTTTCTCGGCTATTTAAGGATATATGTAGAAGACCAATAAGAGGTATAATATTGAGGATTTGTGACGGTACACTAGACTGTTCTCCATTAATTATATGATTTACAATTGCACGATGAACATTCTTTTGTTCAGGATAATCCATAAGAGTGATCAAAATATTTCTTTCCAAATATTCACATAGTTCCTGAATATCAGTAATTAATTGTATTACAGAAATATAATCTTTGGTTGAATGTAAATTACCTTTCAAAAGATTAATTAACTTTGTATTTTGCATACTTCTATTATTTTTTCGTTCAGCAATTCGTATATTATAACTATATACAAGCAACCATTCAATACGTTCTTCATGAGTTTTATGTAATCCAAATAAATTTGTAAAATTTCTCTTTCGTTCATGATAAGTAATGTTTAAATCTTTTATAAATTGTTAATCAAATTTAATAATTATATTACTACAGTCAACCCTCTTTATAGTCACCTCCTATATAGTCACTTCTCTCCTTTAGTCACACCAAAGTTCAGTCCCGATTTTTTAAATAATAAATACCCCCTTTTTAGTCACTATATCATTATAAGCACAATAACATCAATTGTCAGTCCCAGTATCATAGTAAATATAAGAAAAATACCCTTTGTATAATCACAGGTAAACTATGTGATTTAGTATTAATATGACGCAATATAGAGAAGTGATCCATGAATTATAATCTACACGGATAACACAAATATCCAGATAAACAGATCATTTTTATGTGTTACAAATTTATGCAAATATCTATGGATTATTTGATAAATATCTGTGAATACTTATATATTAATAAATAATCCGTTAGAATAATAAAATTTTTTAAAAAAATTCTTAAGTTCAAATGATGCAAAATCGATTGTTTGATACAAAAAATGTAACGGCAAAATATATTTTTTTAAAAAAAATCTTATTTTACCCTCCCTCCCACCTGTCGTACACTCACTCTTTATATAGTTTTATGTTGCGTAAATTGATTTATAATCGTGTAAACAACAATATTGTGTTTTTTGCAAAAAAAATCTATTTATAGCGTTGCGATACGATATTACGATATATTATTACATTACAATAATGTATTATAATATTATGTTTTAATATTAAATATTATAATATATATATGTAATTACTGGGATCCTTTTCCTAATTAATGTAATTAAGTTTATTAGTTTATTACTATATTAAAAGATCAAAATATTATATTGTAT